GATCCAGATTTCCAAAATAGGACAATGGAAAAGTTTTCCAAGATTTCAGTATGAAACGGGCTGGAGTTTCTAAAACTTACACCTTTCTGCAGGAGCTCTTAAGCAACTTTAAGTGAAAAACTCCCAAACTTGACAGAAGGGATGATTTTGAAGTCCTGCTGTGAAAGGAGGAAGGAAACCTAATTAGTTTTCTCCTACATGTTACTCAGAGGTGAAACTCAGTGTTTGTGCTCCCTCTGCAGTGTCAGACCGAAAGCATTTGGGGCAAGAGGTTGTACCTTGCTGGAGGAATGGAGTCTGCCTGCAAGTGCTAACTGTGCCTCAGCCTCCTCCACCTTTACACCCTGTTTGCAATTTTTTCATTTTAAGTTTAATTGCTCTCACATACTTCTAGGAACTTATATATTGTAATGTAGCTTTTTAGTAATGAAAGCTCCAGTTATGAAAGGCTAGGAACAGTAAAACAGAAGCAGCAATCTGCAGGACTGCTGGGACTGAGAATGAAACATCCCAGGCTTTCCTAGGGACCTTCCTACACAGGTATTTAGAGAAAGCAGTGGTTGTTCTTATAAAAAGCTGTGGTTTCCTGGGGCTGATCCATCATTAGAATTAACTTGCCTCTTGCAGAACTCATTGCTGGATGGAGAGACTGTGATTTGTTAGTTTTACTTAATATTTAATGTTACTATTTTGGGATTTTGTGAGCAGTTTTGCCTTTAGGGATGGATGCTTCTTCATCCTAATGTTTGGCTGTACAATGTATGTGTCCTTCTCATGGTGCTTATATAGCTATGACTATGTTCTGAAATACATGAGCATCTGTAACTAGGCTTCCACAGTGTGAGCGGAGAGTTTTAGAAGTGCTGCGCACCCTGTAGCTCCTGCAGAAGTCCGGAACCTCGCAGGTTACATTGGGAATTAGGCAGCTGTTGCAAAAAAAATCTTGGTCTGTCATTCTACTCAAATCGTGTTTAATGCCAGTCTGAGAAGTGCTCCGTGCTACAGTGATGACTGTGGGTTGTGGCCTGTGACATGTATGAAACCTCAAGCTCCCTCCAGCCAGGCTCCCTGAGCAATAAGTACTTTCTGTACTTTTAGTCTTTTTTGCACAGTAATAAGATTTCTTGCTATGACTTGGTTCTTTGGAGAACATGGCAGACTATTTCCCGTGAATCATGATGCTGATGTTCTTTGGGTTTCAATGAGCTGTGGTAATTCCCTTTCAGTGGAAGCACAGCTCCTCTGGCTATCCTTATCCTCAGCAAACATGTTCTGATATGCTGGGTGATAAAACATCTGTTTTCTAAGCTTCTTCTGTTACACCCTGCTGTGAAATCAGCTATCGTTTTGGAGCATTAATCATATCTGTGCTCCTTCCCATATATTCTGATGTTGCCTTGCATGGTATGAGGGGATTTCTCCCTCTGAAGTGCTTTGGGATCTTTGGCATTTATTTTCAAGCAAAATCAGCAGCTGGAGTTGAGGTAAAGGATGCATTTGCAACACACTTTATTTCTTCCCCTCGGTTTGCATAGTGCTTTAGCTCAGCCAGAATTTTCTGAGATGTTCTTGCAGGGACAGATTTCCAGGCATAGAAATCAGCACAACCTGACATAACTCATTCAGGAGATTTACATCCTCCCAGGAGCTTGTTCTTTGTTTCTTCACTGAGTGCTTTCTTCTTTTCAATACATATTCTTTTCTTTCACTGATCACTTTCTTACTATTGATGATTTTTTCTTAACACTGCTTTTACTTATGTCAGTCACATCACCAAACAGTGATATTTCTTGCAATTAAATATGGACCGTCATATTTGGTACTAACAGAAACATAGCTCTGGAACTGAAAAAGCATTGATCATATTGTACAAGAAAAATGAAAAAGTTGAGGATGGAGAGACAATAATGCGACAGTTTTTTGCTGGTCGGTTTTAGGTCATTCTAGCTAAGATTCCTTCTTTTTAACACTGTGAGTCTGACCACCACTGCTGCTGGAAAGGTCTTTAAACACAGCATTACTACAAGTGACTTGGGATGTCCCTGACCATTTTGCTTGTCAGAGACTTGAGAGACAATATCCAGGAGAGGACCATGGTACACATGTTCTGTGTTTATATTTCTCTCTAGGCTTCTGCTATACACCACCATTGCAAGCCAGACACCAGCTCAGTCCTCTAGCCTCGCATTTTTATACTTGACTAAATCTTATTTCCCACTCATGGTCTCCGGAGCTGAACCCTAATGAGAATAAGAAATATTTCTGACATGTGCCTGGTAAAAAAAAAAAATTAATCCAACCCCCCCCCCCCCCCCCCCAAAAAAAAGCTGATTATTTCAGTCAAAAAAGAGCTAATTAGAATTGTTACACCTAAACCGTGCAATTCTAGTGGGAAGAAGAGGGAACTAAGTATTGGCTAGTGTATCTGCTGTCCTCAGGACCACTTTGTCCTCAAGCTTACTGTCACGATCTTCTCTGCATTCAGTTTCTCATTTGGAAAGTATGTTCTTTCTGGGGGTCTCTGTCATTAATACTCTGACACATGCTCTTTGCAGCATGAGATCTGGCCTTCTCAAGACATGCCCTTTGGTTTTAATTGTTTCTGCTTGTTAATTTCTGTTTTTAATTTCCCAAGCATCCTGCTGTTGGTTTTATGTGCACCTTTTGTTTATTCTTAGAGTATTTCTCACTGCTTTGGGAAATGACTTAGGGAGGACTTTAATATATGAGTTAATTTCAACAGGTATCTTCTTATTTTGCTTCCATTCCGCCTGCAGCCTGGATACAGCACTAACATTTCTCTGCCTGTGCAATAACACTCTGCCTATGTTATCCTTTGCCATGATGTTATCCTTTGTTGTGATGTTTTCTGTAGGTTATGTGTACAAAGTACACATGTGTGCAAAGTAACTCATGAACACTTTTACTGCTGTTTCTGTACAGTAGGACAACACAGCTTTCAAGCACAGTCAGTTCTCCTCTTGTACGGAGGTGTAAGCTGGGGATGCAGCTAGGAAATGATCTTATTAAACAGTGCTTCTTTGTAGCAGCTTTTATTTCACAGTAATCTGCATTTTTACACAACTAATGCTAAGCATTCTAAGTGGAGAGCATAGCTGTAAACAGTCCTGTGAAGTCATCTTGTTTCTTTCTGTTAGCACTATAGAATGTGTGCAGATTTGTAGTGGTTTATCTGCATTTTCTACTCATATTCTTCTGGGGAAGGGAAGGCTGGTGACATTTACCCCTTTCGGGAGATATCTTTTCCCAAAACAATGCTATTTACACTAAACTTTTTCTTACATCTATTTACATTTTCTTACAATTCTGGAATAAGGTACAGATTTATAAGATTTATTTTGGATTTTTCATAAACCTAGGTGTAAGTGCCATCCAGAACTGGGATCTTAAGAAAGTCAGATTTGGAATGGGTCTGAACTGCAATCAATTCCTTGCTCATAACAGCCTCCTGTGAACCCCTCTTAGATTAAACTTTTCTGAGAAACCAGAGAACTGCTGGTATATAGTTCTGCTATTTGAGAAGGATTATAACCACTATAGCAGTCCAGGACTTTTATTTGTTCTTTCATTAAAATGGATGTACCTCTCCCTTACAACAGTGTTGAGGAGGTGATCTGAATCTCTATTGGAGGTCCCTCTGGAAGGATTATGTACTGGTTAAAGCTGGTATTAAATGTCTTAGGACTGATTTATCATAATCTCTAAAAGGCATTTTGGCTTTGCTCCTACTCACCAAAAGTATAACTCACTAACTTTATCACCAGATGAGTGGGCTAGGGCCCATCTTGCTGCCCTTATTCAAAAGGTCTTGAAAGCTGGAAACAAATGCTGCATACACTATCCCGAGTACTGCCTCAGAATTGGCTCTAGTTTAGGTAAGAATATGGTGCAATTGCCATATATACTGACATCTAGCAAAGTGCTGACTTTCAGTGGAGCTGACTTCAATGTCTCTAAGAAGGTAATGAATTTCTATTGGTAACAAAGACTGATCTGAACCTTCAGTTAAGCCTAAGTATTACTCTGAAATTTCATATGCTACTGCAACTTCTGATTCTACTGGGAAATGATGCTGGAACATCGAAAGTAACAATACTAGAAAAGTTTAATAGAGTTTTGGATCTCGTAGCATAAAGAAATCACGGAATTTTCATTTCCTGCGAGATTTCAGGCCCAGCTGTGCACATCACAGAACTTATGTAAATATATGACATTGTCACACCATACTCTACAGTAAGCCCTGATTTCAATTTTTAAAAAGGGCTTTTTGTCTTTGAAATTACCTTTGGATAATTTATTTTTACTTCTTGTCATTTCAGTAGTGAAAGAAGGCCTCTATACTGTCTACATGACTCACATTTTTTAAATACTCAAAAAAGTCTCAGAAGTCCCTCTGAAACAAAACATGAGAAGAATGGATTCCTCTTTCTCACCACAATGAGCAAAGTCTCCTTTTTTATTCAGAGTTGTCTTCTACTTGATCATCTGTGTATATTGTCAGAGATAATGTAACGGGTGAGGTTGTCAAAGAAGGAAGTATGCTCTTGTTAATGCTTTGACTTTAAACGTGAGCCACTCAATTGCATGGTAACGGGACCATCTGCTGTGATTCAAAATGTGCAGAGAAGTACCAACAGAGGAAGAAGAGAAAAGTTTATGGTCAAATCAGGAACTCCCAGCACACTCAGAGATGTCCCCTAAAGCGTTCAAAGTGCTTCCTCCAATGCACATCTTCTAAGCCATTGCCTGTGTCAGGAGGGCAGCAGATGACAGTGATGTACACATACATGGTTTTGAGCCAAGAAAATACTTAAACGTGTATAAGTTCACCTCGACTCAGGTAAGCACTTAAACCCATAGCTAATATGCCCCAGGACATTACAATATATAAATATCTTCAACTGCTACTTAACTCAAAAGCAGTAGATTTAATTCATAGAGGTTCATGCACATTGAAAAATGTAAAGATGAAAACCCACCATATTCTGGGACCTGTCCTGTTCCACGTTTCAACAACAGTCGCACTCTCCTGCCACCAGACTTGATTAGCTCTATTGCTCTGGCATGTGTCATGTCCCTTGTGCTTTCTCCATTGATTTCAATTATTTGATCTCCTACCTGTCAGGTAAGAAGAACATTGAGTCAGACAGAATTGCAGTAAAATGAGCATTTCAGAAATAGACATATTCAATGGATCACAGGTTACTTGAATGACAGACAGACACATCAAGGTAAATTTGTTCCTGTCTGTCTGAGGGATATTACTGGCAGATTAAATAACCTCCAAAGTGGATTCTGAATGTGGTATATCAAATGCTGCTCATCTTGTGCTGAAATCAGTGTAATGCATTTATCACTTGACTCATGTCTTTCTCACATAAAAGATTTTGTTTTGAATTGCTTGATATGTTGGAGTCACTGGAAACGTTATCTGTGCTACACCTTAACTGCCAGTGTTGTTTGGCCCCGAGAAGACCTTTGTTGAATATAACTTGCTTTTTTTTATAGAGAAAAGAGAGGTTCAAAGCACAAAGATCCATCATTTCACAGAATAACAGAATCATTAGAGTTGGAAGCAACCTCTGGAGATCACCCAGTCCAAACTCCCTGCCAAGGCAGGGCCACCTAGAGCAGGTTACACAGGATCGTGTCCAGGTGAATTTTGAATGTCTCCAGAGAGGGAGATTTCACAACCCCCTGGGTAGCCTGTTGCCATGCTCTGCCTCAACGTAAAGAAGTTCTTCCTCATGCTGAGGTGAAACTTCTTGTGTTTTAGTTTATGGCCACTGCTCCTCATCCTGGAGCTGGGCACTACTGAAAATAGTCTGACACCATCTTCCTGGCACCTGCCTTTGAGATGTTTATATGCACTGAGATCCCCTCTCAGTCTTCTCTTCTCTAGACTGAACAGGCCCAGCTCCCACAATCTCTTCTCACAAGAGAGATGCTCCAGACCCCCAATCATCCCTGCGGCCCTCCACTGGACCCTCTCCAGTAGCTCCTTGTCTGTCTTGTACTGAGGAGCCCAGAACTGGATACAATACTCCAGATGTGGCCTCATCAGGGTTGAGTAGAGAAGGAGCATCATGTCCCTGGACTTGTTGCACCCAGGGTACTTGTCCTGGGCTTAGCAGTAGCAGTTAGTATTTCTCCTTCTTGGCAACTGGTGCAGCGTTGTGTTTTGACTTTCAGCCTGGGAACAGTGCTGATAACACCGATGTTTTTAGTTGCTGTTTGGTAATGTTTACCCTGACCAAGGACTTTGTGAGGCTCATGCTCTGCCAGGGAGGAGGGGAAGCTGGGAGGAAGCAGGGACAGGACACCTGACCCAGGCTAGCCAAAGAGGTATTCCATACCACAGCACGTCATGCCCAGGGAGGTAACTGGGAGGGATCTGGAAGGGCATAGGTTCTTCTGGGTCGGGCTCATTTCGACGGGTGGTATCGTATTCTCTTCCCTTGTTATCTTCTCTTATCATTATTATCATTGGTGGTAGCAGCAGTGGTTTGTGTTATACCTTAGTTACGGGACCGTTCTTATCTCAATCCGTGGGAGTTACATTCTTTCGATTCTCCTTCCCATCCCTCCGGGAGCAGGGGGAGGGCAAAAAAGGAGGGCAAGAAGAGGGGGAGTGAGTGAATGAGCTGCCTGACTGGTTTTAAACCACGACAGTACTGTTGTCCCTCCTGGCCTCCAGGCCACAATGCCAGCAAATAGTCATCATCCACCAGTACTCCCAGGTCCTTCTCAGCTGAACTGCTCTCTAGTAGAGAGAATCATTTGAATATCCTTATCTTGGTAATAAAGTTTCACACCAAAGTAAGGATAGTGCTATGGCACAGGACATGCATGAGTTCTTAGAAGAGTGTGCTTTGAACTATTTAGCCACAGAAAAAGTAAGCACAGCCCCTGGCTGAGCTGTCTAGTTAGAGCAGCCAACTCCAGTTAGAGCAGCTCTGAATATAGATTTCTGCCACTCATCTCCTGCCTGGCTTTTCAGTCAGAGTTAGCTTCATTACTATTTTTCCACCTCTGTTTCTCCAGCTGTAAAATGGGGCAGTGGTGTCTGCATCTACCATCCACCCCAATCTCCCTCCCAGCTTTGTCTCCTGCTGGGTTGTTTTGGTTTTGCTCTTCTCTCCATGAGAAGAGCTGGCTTTCAACACTGGAAACCTTCTCCATGACTAGGGGAGTTGTTGCTTTTTTGCGGTGCCTGGTCCCCATGGCAGACAGCACACGTAGGAAGCGGCAGCTGTACAGCTTGCTTGGTATTGCAATGTCACAGCTGCCACTTATCTTGTGAGAGAGTTAAACAAGCAACACGGGGAGGTGATATGTGAACCTCTCAGCAGCAGCATCATAGCCTTTGGAGCTGATGTTTTGCAGCTACCTTGCAGAAGCCTCCCAGCCCCTTTGGATGGGTGACCCAGGTGAAGCCCAGATGTAGAGCTGATCTCCTGGTGCTGATGGAGGTGCAGGTCCAAGTGATGGGCATCCAAGAGGGGTGTGGAAGGGTCTCAGGTGAGTGGGTTCAGCAAGCCCGTTTATCAGTGCCAGAAGAGCACATCTGCTTGGCAGGATCACACCTGCCTCAGTCTGCATCTCACCATGTGTATCAGCTACACTAAAATAACAATGCCTGTACATCCTAGAGAGGGTTTTAAGGAGGCTAAGCAGATTTCAAGATGATGGGCACTTCTTTTTCCTCTTACAAGCCCATCTTGACAAAACCAGCTCTTAGCTGGCCTTGGACATTGAAAAGTTTTCTGTTTTGTATGTTTTCTTTGCTACAATTGTGTTTCTGTCAACTAAAATTGTAATCCTTCAGAGGCTTCCCTTCCTTCCCAAGTTTGAAATATAGCATTTACCAAATAAGTGTGCATAATATGGAATGTCAACAAGAGTCCTAGCTTTAAAGAAAACTGGAGGGGATGTCAAGAAGTTATCTAGTCCCTGCATTTGTTCAGAGACAGAAAGAATGCTACTAAAAGCCCTATGGTAGCATTTCTCAGTAGGAACTCATACCTTCTCAATAGGAGTTGCCGCTTATTTTAAGAACTCCACCAGGATCCTGTATGCAATCTATGCCGGTACTTAACTAAAAAGCCATTGATCCGAATAAAACCTTTCAGCCTAGGTATCGCACTTTGTAAATGCTGTAGACTGAGCAGTGTGGGAAAAACATCAGGATTATTTCGTTGCAAAAAGGGCTTATTTTTGCAGTGTGAATTTCTTCCTTAGAGGATTTTCTCTGTTAGAAAGAATACATTTGGTTATACCATGCAATAAGGATTTTTAGATACTTCTGATGGCCTCCAGGCTACAGTGACACACAGCACAGGAGCCCTGTGCGTTATGGAGAGGTGTCCCCCAGGTTTGGCCACGTGAGGCTGTCTGCATCACCTTGAGTTTTGGAGTGGCCAGTAGGATTGTAGTTAGTTCACACAGACCAAAAAATGGAAAAATCTCTCTGATGCCTTGTGTAACACAGACAGAAGATAGATACATAGCATCCCCACAAGGATACCGGTCAAGCCAAATGCAGACAAAATTCAACCTGTTTGGGAGAACATGTTTCTAAATGTCATGAAACAATTAAACCCTGTTAGAAATCCTATAAAAACAAACCATGGACTATCCAGGCAATGTGACACGAAAAAGAGCTGTCTACCTTTGCAGAAGGTATTTAAAATGTTAGCATGTTCTGAGAGAAAAAGTGACAGATTAGATCAAATGAAGGAGGTGTTTTTAACACTTCTTGATAAATGGCCTTTAAAACAAGTACTGACAAAAGCTGTGCATGGCACGTACAGTCCTTCAAATAAAATCCTCTGCACTCTGGAGGAGAAAGACAGAGATTTTAATACAGTATAATATGTAAAAAGGTTAAGTTAATGTCACATTTTTCCCTTGCCGTTTGCATTTCTTCTGTTCTCATTGGTCAAGATGGAAGAACTCTCTTGTACTAATGTAACCTTTTCTGTATTTCAGTGGATTAAAATATTTTTTCTTCTCTCTGGGGGCAGCACGTAGCTGATTTGATACTTTCTTTTATTATAAAATCTTACATGGAAATAACCTGGGAAAGCTTAAGAAAGGCCATCATCTTGCTTATGTGCCTGAAGGAGAGAAGAGTTCTGCAAAAATTAGGTGCTCTGAAATTTACATCAGAAAGTGTGAGACCCCAGATAAAATGAACAGTTGCAAGAGCAGCGGTTTAACTGTGTTCCATCCATTTGAGGCTCGTGGCTGACTGATGTATGACTGAATTATACTGCCTTTGCAGCACAAGCCCAGCTCTGATTAGATAAGAAAAACAATAAGGAAAGGAAATGTTAGCCTGAGAAAACCTTTAATTAGTCTTTACACTCACACCTGGGAAATTCATACAAACAGAAAACCTTGACTGAGGAGTGGTTGCCCATGTGTCTAGTAAAGTACAAAGTCCTATTCTTATTTTTTCTGCATTTAAAAGTTTATAACTTCCCCTTCCCTCCCTTTAGTGATGTAGCTTCTTTTATATGAGAGGATACCATGCTGCATGCTTTCTCTCTGTCCAGGCATTCAAATTTGCTTGTGCTCTTGCCTTTTCTATTGTGGAATAGATTTTCAGTTATTGTGGGGCTATTTCTGGCTTTTTTAAAATACAGTGATTGTTTAAGAAGAGTGTAAGTATAACCACATCTGGAAGAAGAACCAAGGTGAGGCTACAAGTAATGGTTAGCATAGAAACAGGTCTGAAAAGAATATAATTCCTATTATACGGGATCCTTATTACTCTTTTTTTTCAGGATTAAAAGTAGATTCCTGCAGTTTTATACCACTGACATTTCTCTGTACTTCTCTGTGGATCCATTCAAGTCTATCCACAGTCTCCAAATTGGAGGTATTGCTAAGGTGGGCAGTAGGCTGAACAGATCAGAAATACAACATTCTTCCCACGTGGAAGAAACACTTATTAATAACGTTCCCAGAATGAAATCTTTGCCTTTTTGTAACACATCAGATTTGCAACTCATGGTTAGCTTGGATTCTGGGATTATCCCCAGCTGTATTGGCTAGTCGGTTATCCCCCATTTCACATTGTACATCTGAATTCTCTGCCTTAAAGTGAGTGA